CTCTCTCTCTCTCTCACACTCACACACACACACACACACACACACACACACACACACACCTACATTCACACCCCTTCCACAAGCCTTTGCTTGATAATGTTTGTTGCTTAGATTAGTTTATAATAGTTATTTGTTTAATTAAGTTAATTGATTTTGGATTGATGTTGCTTTGTTTAAATAAATTATATTATAATTTAAGAGAGCAGTTGTTTGTGGTTACTGGTGTATTTGCATTGTGATATAAGCTGGGTGCGAAGGCTTTGTGTACGGATTTCACGCCTTCAATTTATTAAATATAGTTATTAATTATTAATAATATTAGTAATTAAATAACTAATTTGAGACTGATTTGAGTGATATTTTGGTTATATTTACCTGATTACAGGTTGGTGCCCCAAAACGAGATTAAACATAGTTTAATGATATTTTATTTATATTATTAATAATTAAGTATAATTATTAAAGAATATAACCAAAGTTGACTTGATACAACCCCCCAACATTGTCATTACACATATACAAGTATAGAGTAACGAAATGAGGTTTGGCATCTCACCAGAAGTGCAAATAAGCAGAAAGTGCAAGAGTCTGTGCTATGTACAGTAATTACAAAATTTACAGATGTAGACTAAAAAAAGTGAATTATTAGGTATATATGGATGGCTGGATTAATGGGATGCTATAAATATAAATAAATGCTATAAATATAAGTGTATTCTTAGGATTATAATATACAGATTAAGGTGCAGTGAGCATGCTATACTAGTTTACATATAATATAAAGAATATGGACATTATATGAACATACTATAATACAATAATACAGGTGGATGAGAGATGTGTGTGTGTGACCAGGAGGAGTGGTGGGGGGATGATGGGTGTGAGGTGATATGGAGGGGAAAGGGGGGGGTCAGCAGGGGGCGGAGAGAGAGAGGGAGAGAGAGAGAGAGACAGAGTTCAGAGTTCGGGGGGTAGAGTTCAGTGGAGAGACAGCTCTGGGGAAAAAGCTGTTCCTCAGTCTGCTGGTTCTGGTCCGGAGGCTTCTGAAGCGCCTGCCGGAGGGCAGGAGGGTAAACAGTCTGTGGGCAGGGTGGGAGGACAGCGTTTTCTTTGGACATCCTCAATGGCAGGAAGTGGACACCTTGTGATGCTCTGGGCGGTTTTTACCACCCCGCTGTAGCGCCTTACGGTCTGCGACAGAGCAGTTTCCGTACCAGACTGAGCCACTGCTGGTCAGGATGCTCTCGATCACACAGCGGTAGAAGTTCATCAGTACAGCTGAAGACAGGTGGTGTCTCTTCAGTGTCCTCAGGAAAAAGAGGCGTTGATGAGCCTTCTTAACCAGACTGGAGGTGTTAGTGGACCAGGAGAGGTCCTCTGTGATGTGGGTCCCCAGGAACTTGAAGCTGGAGACACGTTCAACAGCCATCCCGTTGATGTGAATGGGGTTGTGCGTGCTTCCTCTTTCTCTCCTGAAGTCCACGATGATCTCCTTCGTCTTGCTGGTGTTGAGGAGCAGGTTGTTGTCAGCACACCAGGCGGCCAGATGCTGTACCTCCCCCCTGTAGGCCGTGTCATCGTTGTTGCTGATGAGGCCAATCACCACCGTATCGTCCGCAAACTTGATGATGGTGTTGGATCCATGTACAGGTCTGCAGTCGTGGGTGAAGACGGAGTACAGGAATGGGCTCAGCACACAGCCCTGTGGTACGCCTGTGTTGAGTGTGATGGTGGTGGAGCAGGTGTGTCCTGACCTGACATACTGGGGTCTGTTGGTCAGAAAGTCCATTATCCAGTGACGGAGGGAGGTGTTGAAGCCCAGGTCTCCGAGTTTAGTGTTTAACTTGGAGGGAATGACAGAGTTGAATGCTGAGCTAAAATCAACAAACAGCATTCGTGCGTATGTGTTGTTATTGTCCAGATGAGTGAGCACAGAGTGCAGCGCAGTGGAGACTGCATCCTCTGTACTCCTATTGCTGCGGTAGGCAAACTGGTATGGGTCCAGTGTGGGTGGGAGGCAGTTTTTCAGGTGTGCTAGGACCAGTCGCTCAAAGCACTTCATTATGATGGGTGTGAGTGCCACAGGGCGGTAGTCGTTCAGGCCTGTCGGGCTGGAGTGTTTCGGCACTGGGACAATGGAGGTGGCTTTGAAGCATGCTGGCACAGCTGCTTGGGCGAGGGACAGGTTGAAGATGTCCGTAAAAACCCCAGTGAACTGCTCCGCACATGCTCTAAGCACGCGCCCGGGGGTGCCGTCTGGACCAGCAGAGGCAAAAAAAGTCAGGCAACTTTGAGAAGTTTTGTATGCACCTACCTCCTTTATCAAGACTAATATGAGTAGGGTGTGAATAAAACTTATATATTTCACACAGAACAGTGATTATTAGTGTACATACCGTATTGGTCTGAATATAAGACGACCCTGATTATAAGACGACCCCCGTTTTTCAACACTCATATTTAGAAAAAAAAGATTTGCAGACCAGATCTTGTTTTTGTAAAGAACTTTTTTTAAAGAACTTCATTTTATTTGAAAATAACAATATTAAAAACACATTGAATGTATTACACATTGAACCTGTTGTATTAATAATTATAATAATAATTAACATACCGTATTTATTGGTATAGGCCTACGGCACTTTTCAAAACAAAGTGTTTCACAAGGGCGAACTATGTACAGTATGATTCAACATTAAAATCGATTAACAATCAAACAATATTATCAACATGTTTTTAACATTTTGAAATAACAGAGGAAATACAGGCAACGTTTTTAACTAAACTACCGCTAAACTAAAACTCTCCAAACTTCTCCTCCGATGTCTCCTCTCTATTCCTCACTCACACACATAAACACACACACACACACACACACACACACACACACACACACACACACACACAAACACACACACACACACACACACACACACACACACACTCACTCTGCCCCGCTGTGTTCACTCTCGCTCTCATCGCTCCCCAATATTAAAAACACATTGAATTAAACACCTGTTGTTGTAATAATGATAACAATAATAAACGTAGGCCTATTTATCGTTATATGCTACGGCACTTTTCAAAACTAAGTTTTTCACAAGGTCAAAATATGTACAGTATGATTTAACATTAAAATCAAGCAATATTATCAACATTTTGAAATAAGAGAGAAAATACAGGCAACTTTTTTAACTAAACTACCGCTAAACTAAAACTCTCCAAACTTCTCCTCCGATGTCTCCTATTCCTCACACACGTCCTCCGCCCCGCTGTGTTCTCTCTCACTGTCATCACTCCCCTGCTCCTCCCAGAGCGCGTCATGTGTGTTGACATTTAAAGGGACAGGCGAACAATTAGAGCTGCGCTCTGAATACTAGACCCCGAATATAAGACGACCCGACTTTTTCAGACCTATTTCGATGGGGAAAAAGGACCAATACGGTATTTCACAGAGGAGTTAGAGTGATAGAGCAGGAGAGGCTTAAATACTGCGGGAAAATGGATTTGTTGTTGGGATAAATTTGGAGAAGTGAGGTCCATCAGGATAACAGTAGAGATGGGATTGTCATTGTTGAATGTCTGTCTAAACGCCATAAGAGAAAAAACCCTGAAAATGTGTGTCTTTGGAGATGGTTCTAGTGCTCTCACATGGCTTTCCCTTGGCCGAACGTTTAGTTCTGCTCGCGATCGTACTGAGAACAGCCGGTGGTGAAGAATAAGCAAATGAGCTGAGAATTTAGTTGGATAAAGCTACAGTTTGCAAACTGAAAGCTGCTAAAACAATCACATTTATTTTCCCCGACCGTTCTGTTCAGTACGTTCAGTACAAGAAGAGGAAGAGAGTGACTCGGAGGCGGAGCTCTCCCTCTCAGTCAGTCAGTGATTCATGTCGGAGCGCTCGTTCAGTTCGTTCAGTGAACGAAACACTGACTGAACGTGAACGAGCGAGACTGCGAGTCACCAGCCTCAGTCACACACACACACACACACACACACACACACACACACACACACACACACACAGTACTGACTGAAACACGATGGTTAGTAGATGTTAAAACAGTCAGCTGAGTTAAATTAAGTTGGATATAAAAGCCGTTTGTAAACTGACAGCAGATATAAAAAGCACAAACATTTTCGCGACACCTAAATGTTAAATAATATATTTTCTACTTCCTCAATTTTGGAGACATGAGAGGGAGAAGTAGGGGCGGGCTTTAGTGACACAGAGCTCCCGACCGACTCCGTCCTGTTGGTTCACTCAGTACGTATCACTGACATGAGAGGAGAGGGAGGGCGGGCTTTGAGAGACTCTTATGGTCTAGAGAGAGACACGAGACGGGAGAGAGGAGAGAGCAACTGAAGTTGAGAAATGAACGACTCTTTTCAGTAAGTGATTCAGTTCAGTTCGTTCACCCAGATGATTCGCTCGTTTTGAACGAGTCGTTCACGAACTACACATCACTATAGTGTATTTAGATAATGTTTGCTACAGAGTGAGAGCTTATGAGAGAGCTCCTCTCAGGTGTTTCTGCTGTCAGGAGTACGGCCATGTTGCTGCAGCGTGCAGAGGAGTTTGAAGATGAGGAGGAAATGTTTGTTTTGACTCGACTGCTGATGATGATACCCACATTCTCACCAAACAACTTCCCCTTCACTTTTTAGAAAAGGCTGAAAATGATGCGTCAGCACATCTCAGAGCACTAAAATAACATCTGATCTCTGATCTCTCAAACACGACGGACATTCAGAGTTGTATTCAGGAGGTCAAGGAGTTTGACCCTCCATGTTTTGTTCACTTTTTGCTCACAGACATCATTTTTAACTTAACTATTTTCTCAGAAAGAGGAACGTTGCACTTCTCAAAACTCACAATCTTGCCACATTTAACTGAACAGTTGAGAGCGTGAGAACGGGAGGACAGAGGGACGGACCTCTTCATACACTGATCACAGTTTGACAAGATCTCCGTCAATCTGCTGTGACCTCTGACCTCCGAAATCTTTACTGATCGATGCAGCTCATCTTAATGATCATCAGTTTATGATCACTTAAACATGTTACATCATGTTTTAATAACTATGAGACATTCATAGAATTGAACATTTAAAGTAGGCTTGAAGTCAAAATGAGGAAGTGATGACATACTAAGAAAGGGAAGTAGATGCAGCGTCTCTTTAAAGAAGCACTACTGAAGAAACTCAGACAGTTAGGAGCGTGACAACGGGAGGACAGAGACGGAGAATCACCATGAACGAGCTCAAATGGATTCAAACTTCTTTACTTCTCACAGCGCTGCTTCAGTTTGCTGGTAAGAACATTTATATCACATATTTAACCTTTTTTTAAACATGATGGATTTAATGAACTCTGAGAAACCACAGATGAAGAATTATTCTCAAACTGATTGTGAATATAATCAACATTTTATTGATTTACTTTATTCTTTGTCATTTTATCAACAGCAGCAGCTGGAGATAAAGAAGTCACATTCAAAGCTTCACTTGGAGAGGACGCCACGTTGTCTTGTGAAACTGTGATACAAGGTCAACAGAAGTGTGAATATACGACATGGAACTTCATTGATTCAGGAAACAAAGCAGTAGTAGAGCTGGTTGTAGAAGGTCAGGTTAGAAACTCTGGAGTTAAATCAGACAGACTGAGAGTTACAGAGGACTGTTCTCTGGTTATAAAGAAGATCAGAGAGGAGGATGCTGGACGTTATGACTGTCTACAGTACATATCAGGAAGAAGAACAGGTGATGTGACTCGAGTTCATCTCTCTGTTACCAAGAGTAAGTATTTCAATAATCTTTACAAACAAAACTTTTCTAATTCAAACAATAAACTGAAACATTACAATAATTATAAAGACTCTGATGAAGTTAATTTGTCTCTTGTTGTGTTTCTCTTATAATATCTCCATCCTTACTTTGGACTGGAAATACTTCAAATATTAAAACTTTTTTTTGGATTTGAAGTTTGAATTTTATATGAAAACACAAGTTTAGTGCTGAACAGTTTGTTGAGTTGTGTTTCTCTCAACTTCAGGTGAGGACGCCAAACCAGAACCAACAAGACCACCAACAACAAGACCAACAACAACAACAACAACAACTGCGGCTGCAGGAGGTAGAGTCTGTTGTCTCCTCTCTTTGTTTGATTCTGATTAAGGACAGAAGTTTGGAGCTAACATGCTGTTGGACACATTGATCCCTATCTGATCTCTTTAGTCCCTCAGTATCTAAACCACCACACTGACAGAAGTGTCTCCCTGTAGTCACAGTGATGGAAAAGAACGACACCTCTGTGCCTTTGAATGCCTCGTTTCACTTTTTTTTTAAAAACCTCCCAGACGGCTCAGCTGACGAGTTTAAAAGTAATATCCACCAAATGATGTCAAATATTTCACATTATGACCCTCCTCTTTAACTCTTTACCATCCTTAACAAGTTCCTTTTTTCTGTGGTTAAGTTGTAACCCTCAAAGTTTCTTCTTTTCTTTCAAAGTAAAAGAGGGTTTATATCCAAAACAGGAAATAAAGTATCCTTAGCTCAAGAAAGTACAAAATAAAAGTGTAAATTTTATTTTTCTGAAATACAAAATAATGGAATTTCAAACATGATTAAAATATGATTAACCCTAATTAACTGCTGAATATCTGGGATTAATCCCAATTAAATTAATTTAATCATTTTACTGCTCTCAATGTTCAATACAGACACGTGTTATCTTTTTTTTATTCATCATATCATCTTAAGAACTCAGATCTATTGTCATTAGAAGATGTTTATGTTTTATGAAAAAACAAAAGTTGTTAGCAAAGTTCAATATTTGACTAACGTCTGGTTCCTGTTCATCAGATTGTACAGGTTGTTCTGATCTGGACTTGGTCATGTTGGCTCTGCGTGTGGCTGAACTCCTCCTGATTACTGTGATCACTGTTCTTCTCTTCAGAGCTCGAGGTGAGAAACACTCACACCAACTTTTATTCACACCTATCACCACCAACCTTAAAGTCAGAGCTGAAATGTTTCTGTGTGCTTTATTTTTCAGGGAACCAGAGACCACCTGATGACATCACTGTGAGCTGGAAATAAAGCCTCATATGAACTGTCTTCATATAGAAAAGGAACATTTCTTATCTCCATTTTAACTTGTATGTTTTTGTATTTTCACAGGTGTATTATGATGGAGATGAAGGCTCAGTGAACTATGAAAATGTTGGAGAACCTTCTGCTTCTGTCAGACTCCACTGATCAACAACTTCCACACAAACATCCACTCAGCAGATACATTAATCCACCGCTTTTAATCATTTCTATATTGTGCAGGTTTGCAGCAGGTAGAGAGAGAAACAGAGAGAGAGATCATCACTTGGGTTAATCTTCAGTTTTTGCAAACATGGAAGAAAATATTTTTTTTATAGAAAGCTTCATTTGTATAAAGTTCTTCATATTTTTGAGTGCCTTTTCACTAGCAAGGACCACGCCACAACAGAATTAGTTTGAACATTTAATGTGGATTGTATTGACATGATATATTGACAGATGTATGTGTATGAGAGGGGTGGAGGTGAGAGATGGCCGTCTTCTTTCAGGCTGGTCTGGGAGGTTGATCGGGCGAGCGAGACTCAGAGTGGGGGTTCCGTCTCGGGTATGAATCCACCCGAACTTATTACGGCCCCAGACTGTACCTGAAGTGAGAGAGATGAGGGAGAGGCGTGTGCCGAGTTGGATGGGAAGAAATAAGGAAGGAGGGAAGGGATGAGGAAGGAGGGAAGGGATGAGGGTGAATGGATCAGGAAGGAGGGAAGGGAGGGTGGGAAGAAGGATCTGAGGCAAACAGGGTGTGGTGAGGTGACCAGGTGTTAAGTAGGCTGTCAGGTAATTGGAGGTGTGGTTTTAGACGTGGTCCTGCTCCCGAACCGAAGTTAATACATTAACTCCATTAAATGTCAGAATAATCAAATTTGAATCATTATGTCAAATTAACTTTCATGTCTTATTGTTGCTTCAATATATTTGATTGAATGTGTATATTTTACTTAAAGGAGGTCTATTATCCTCACTTTCACCATTAATCATGTCAGTCTGGGACACCTGTTGAGTAGTGTTGTGAGATGTGTAGCTCAAAAACCTTCTTATTTATGTCGGTAAAATCTCTCATATCAGCCTCTGTGTGAAACGGTTCATTTCAGCTGCTGTCTCTTTAAGACCGCCCTCTTCACGTGCCCACATTACTCTGATTGTCCAGCTTTGCTAAAAACTTCCTGGGGGCAGAACCAATTAGCTGACGGGTGGGCAACTCCTTCATCTTTGCTCCATGCTTTGTTCTAATCTAATGTTTCAGTGGCAAAGTTTTACGACGTCCTTTAAGATCTTGTTCAGAGCAGCAGGAAACCACGTCCGGGGATTACACCAACATCTGTGTATCTTGTGTTTAAAAAACTTTGCAGAGGTTTAGTATGAACATCCAACATGGTAACATTATATGTATGTTTTTAAATATGGATCAGCATCATAGATCTCTTTTTATACTTTTCCATCTTCAGTCTGTAATAATCATGTCTTTATAAAATCATAATAAAATGTCATGCTTAATTATACTGTGTGCTTTTTGTGACTCCATTAAATTACAGAGTTTTTCTGAAAGTGAACATTTTCTCTCCATAGCTTTTACATGACGTGACGGTCACACTCTTATAGAACCGCCCACCTGGCGGGCAAGAAAGGCTCTCTACCACTGAACGCTACTGAGAAGTTATTGATCTCAGTTGCCATCTAAGTGTTTTTATCAGTTTTATTTTGACATTTTTCAAATAAAAGACAGTTGTTTAATGTTATACACTGACCGATGAGGAGACGAGGCTGGGTTTTGCTTCTGCAGAATCTGAATCAGAATCTGAATCTGAGAAACAAACCCAGAGAGGAGGAGATTTGTGGATTAAAGCGGTTAGACCCTCCGCGGCGTCTGTGAGGGAAAAAGAAGAACAGACTTCTCCTAATCCTGACAGCAAAGATTGTGTTCACTTGATCTAAATATTGCTGCCTTTAACTCACATTACTGCCCCTGAACACTGAAATTGACAGTTGACAGTCATCACTGATGCTGGAATGATGAAGCATTTCTTGCCCTTGGAAGGATGCTGAGGTAGATTTGCGTGTCATCGGCGTAGGAATGAAAATCGACATCATGTTGGCGGATTATCCGACCAAGGGTGAGCATGTAGATTGTGAAAAGAAGAGGGCCAAGCACAGACCCTTGGGGCACACCTTTATTACCTGGAACTCAGGAGGAGCTGGAGTTGCTGATGATGACAATCTGTTACCTGTTAGAGAGGTAGGAGATCGGCCGGAAGTTGTCTGGGTCCTCTGAGTCCAAACTTGACTTCTTAAAAAGCCTGTGCTGCAGCTCTACAGTGTTTTCTGTACGGTGGCAGCTACTTTCCTGAGAACATTTTGCCATGGCCATGTGACTGAAAGTCATGAATAGATGTCCTTCCTTTATTATTGGGATATCCTCCATTCATCCTCCGTTCTCCTTTCTAAGCAGAGAACTAGAATGTGTCCAAATACAGAGAAATACACCAAATGTGTGCAAGAGGCAAAAAAAGTGAGATGAGATGAGATGAGATTCAACTTTATTGTCATTACACATATACAAGTATAGAGTAACGAAATGAGGTTTGGCATCTCACCAGAAGTGCAAATAAGCAGAAAGTGCAAGAGTCTGTGCTATGTACAGTAATTACAAAATTTACAGATGTAGACTAAAAAAAGTGAATTATTAGGTATATATGGATGGCTGGATTAATGGGATGCTATAAATATAAATAAATGCTATAAATATAAGTGTATTCTTAGGATTATAATATACAGATTAAGGTGCAGTGAGCATGCTATACTAGTTTACATATAATATAAAGAATATGGACATTATATGAACATACTATAATACAATAATACAGGTGGATGAGAGATGTGTGTGTGTGACCAGGAGGAGTGGTGGGGGGATGATGGGTTTGAGGTGATATGCAGGGGAAAGGGGGGGGTCAGCAGGGGGCGGAGAGAGAGAGGGAGAGAGAGGGAGAGACAGAGTTCAGAGTTCGGGGGGTAGAGTTCAGTAGAGAAACAGCTCTGGGGAAAAAGCTGTTCCTCAGTCTGCTGGTTCTGGTCCGGAGGCTTCTGAAGCGCCTGCCGGAGGGCAGGAGGGTAAACAGTCTGTGGGCAGGGTGGGAGGAGTCTTTAAGGATGCCGTGAGCTCGCCGCAGACAGCGTTTTCTTTGCACATCCTCAATGGCAGGAAGTGGACACCTTGTGATGCGCTGGGCGGTTTTTACCATCCGCTGTAGCGCCTTCCGGTCTGCAACAGAGCAGTTTCCGTACCAGACTGAGCCACTGCTGGTCAGGATGCTCTCGATCACACAGCGGTAGAAGTTCATCAGTACAGCTGAAGACAGGTGGTGTCTCTTCAGTGTCCTCAGGAAAAAGAGGCGTTGATGAGCCTTCTTAACCAGACTGGAGGTGTTAGTGGACCAGGAGAGGTCCTCTGTGATGTGGGTCCCCAGGAACTTGAAGCTGGAGACACGTTCAACAGCCATCCCGTTGATGTGAATGGGGTTGTGCGTGCTTCCTCTTTCTCTCCTGAAGTCCACGATGATCTCCTTCGTCTTGCTGGTGTTGAGGAGCAGGTTGTTGTCAGCACACCAGGCGGCCAGATGCTGTACCTCCCCCCTGTAGGCCGTGTCATCGTTGTTGCTGATGAGGCCAATCACCACCGTATCGTCCGCAAACTTGATGATGGTGTTGGATCCATGTACAGGTCTGCAGTCGTGGGTGAAGACGGAGTACAGGAATGGGCTCAGCACACAGCCCTGTGGTACGCCTGTGTTGAGTGTGATGGTGGTGGAGCAGGTGTGTCCTGACCTGACATACTGGGGTCTGTTGGTCAGAAAGTCCATTATCCAGTGACGGAGGGAGGTGTTGAAGCCCAGGTCTCCGAGTTTAGTGTTTAACTTGGAGGGAATGACAGAGTTGAATGCTGAGCTAAAATCAACAAACAGCATTCGTGCGTATGTGTTGTTATTGTCCAGATGAGTGAGCACAGAGTGCAGCGCAGTGGAGACTGCATCCTCTGTACTCCTATTGCTGCGGTAGGCAAACTGGTATGGGTCCAGTGTGGGTGGGAGGCAGTTTTTCAGGTGTGCTAGGACCAGTCGCTCAAAGCACTTCATTATGATGGGTGTGAGTGCCACAGGGCGGTAGTCGTTCAGGCCTGTCGGGCTGGAGTGTTTCGGCACTGGGACAATGGAGGTGGCTTTGAAGCATGCTGGCACAGCTGCTTGGGCGAGGGACAGGTTGAAGATGTCCGTAAAAACCCCAGTGAACTGCTCCGCACATGCTCTAAGCACGCGCCCGGGGGTGCCGTCTGGACCAGCAGAGGCAAAAAAAGTCAGGCAACTTTGAGAAGTTTTGTATGCACCTACCTCCTTTATCAAGACTAATATGAGTAGGGTGTGAATAAAACTTATATATTTCACACAGAACAGTGATTATTAGTGTACATACCGTATTGGTCTGAATATAAGACGACCCTGATTATAAGACGACCCCCGTTTTTCAACACTCATATTTAGAAAAAAAAGATTTGCAGACCAGATCTTGTTTTTGTAAAGAACTTTTTTTAAAGAACTTCATTTTATTTGAAAATAACAATATTAAAAGCACATTGAATTATACACCTGTTGTATTAATAATTATAATAATAATTAACATACCGTATTTATTGGTATAGGCCTACGGCACTTTTCAAAACAAAGTGTTTCACAAGGGCGAACTATGTACAGTATGATTCAACATTAAAATCGATTAACAATCAAACAATATTATCAACATGTTTTTAACATTTTGAAATAACAGAGGAAATACAGGCAACGTTTTTAACTAAACTACCGCTAAACTAAAACTCTCCAAACTTCTCCTCCGATGTCTCCTCTCTATTCCTCACTCACACACATAAACACACACACACACACACACACACACACACACACACACACACACACACACAACACACACACACACACACACACACACACACACACACACACTCTGCCCCGCTGTGTTCACTCTCGCTCTCATCGCTCCCCAATATTAAAAACACATTGAATTAAACACCTGTTGTTGTAATAATGATAACAATAATAAACGTAGGCCTATTTATCGTTATATGCTACGGCACTTTTCAAAACTAAGTTTTTCACAAGGTCAAAATATGTACAGTATGATTTAACATTAAAATCAAGCAATATTATCAACATTTTGAAATAAGAGAGAAAATACAGGCAACTTTTTTAACTAAACTACCGCTAAACTAAAACTCTCCAAACTTCTCCTCCGATGTCTCCTATTCCTCACACACGTCCTCCGCCCCGCTGTGTTCTCTCTCACTGTCATCACTCCCCTGCTCCTCCCAGAGCGCGTCATGTGTGTTGACATTTAAAGGGACAGGCGAACAATTAGAGCTGCGCTCTGAATACTAGACCCCGAATATAAGACGACCCGACTTTTTCGGACCTATTTCGATGGGGAAAAAGGACCAATACGGTATTTCACAGAGGAGTTAGAGTGATAGAGCAGGAGAGGCTTAAATACTGCGGGAAAATGGATTTGTTGTTGGGATAAATTTGGAGAAGTGAGGTCCATCAGGATAACAGTAGAGATGGGATTGTCATTGTTGAATGTCTGTCTAAACGCCATAAGAGAAAAAACCCTGAAAATGTGTGTCTTTGGAGATGGTTCTAGTGCTCTCACATGGCTTTCCCTTGGCCGAACGTTTAGTTCTGCTCGCGATCGTACTGAGAACAGCCGGTGGTGAAGAATAAGCAAATGAGCTGAGAATTTAGTTGGATAAAGCTACAGTTTGCAAACTGAAAGCTGCTAAAACAATCACATTTATTTTCCCCGACCGTTCTGTTCAGTACGTTCAGTACAAGAAGAGGAAGAGAGTGACTCGGAGGCGGAGCTCTCCCTCTCAGTCCGTCAGTGATTCATGTCGGAGCGCTCGTTCAGTTCGTTCAGTGAACGAAACACTGACTGAACGTGAACGAGCGAGACTGCGAGTCACCAGCCTCAGTCACACACACACACACACACACACACACACACACACACACACACACACAGTACTGACTGAAACACGATGGTTAGTAGATGTTAAAACAGTCAGCTGAGTTAAATTAAGTTGGATATAAAAGCCGTTTGTAAACTGACAGCAGATATAAAAAGCACAAACATTTTCGCGACACCTAAATGTTAAATAATATATTTTCTACTTCCTCAATTTTGGAGACATGAGAGGGAGAAGTAGGGGCGGGCTTTAGTGACACAGAGCTCCCGACCGACTCCGTCCTGTTGGTTCAGTCAGTACATATCACTGACATGAGAGGAGAGGGAGGGCGGGCTTTGAGAGACTCTTATGGTCTAGAGAGAGACACGAGACGGGAGAGAGGAGAGAGCAACTGAAGTTGAGAAATGAACGACTCTTTTCAGTAAGTGATTCAGTTCAGTTCGTTCACCCAGATGATTCGCTCGTTTTGAACGAGTCGTTCACGAACTACACATCACTATAGTGTATTTAGATAATGTTTGCTACAGAGTGAGAGCTTATGAGAGAGCTCCTCTCAGGTGTTTCTGCTGTCAGGAGTACGGCCATGTTGCTGCAGCGTGCAGAGGAGTTTGAAGATGAGGAGGAAATGTTTGTTTTGACTCGACTGCTGATGATGATACCCACATTCTCACCAAACAACTTCCCCTTCACTTTTTAGAAAAGGCTGAAAATGATGCGTCAGCACATCTCAGAGCACTAAAATAACATCTGATCTCTGATCTCTCAAACACGACGGACATTCAGAGTTGTATTCAGGAGGTCAAGGAGTTTGACCCTCCATGTTTTGTTCACTTTTTGCTCACAGACATCATTTTTAACTTAACTATTTTCTCAGAAAGAGGAACGTTGCACTTCTCAAAACTCACAATCTTGCCACATTTAACTGAACAGTTGAGAGCGTGAGAACGGGAGGACAGAGGGACGGACCTCTTCATACACTGATCACAGTTTGACAAGATCTCCGTCAATCTGCTGTGACCTCTGACCTCCGAAATCTTTACTGATCGATGCAGCTCATCTTAATGATCATCAGTTTATGATCACTTAAACATGTTACATCATGTTTTAATAACTATGAGACATTCATAGAAATGAACACCTTAAAGCAGGCTTGAAGTCAAAATGAGGAAGTGACGACATACTAAGAAAGGGAAGTAGATGCAGCGTCTCTTTAAAGAAGCACTACTGAAGAAACTCAGACAGTTAGGAGCGTGACAACGGGAGGACAGAGACGGAGAATCACCATGAACGAGCTCAAATGGATTCAAACTTCTTTACTTCTCACAGCGCTGCTTCAGTTTGCTGGTAAGAACATTTATATCACATATTTAACCTTTTTTTAAACATGATGGATTTAATGAACTCTGAGAAACCACAGATGAAGAATTATTCTCAAACTGATTGTGAATATAATCAACATTTTATTGATTTACTTTATTCTTTGTCATTTTCTCAACAGCAGCAGCTGAAGTTAAAAAAGTCACATTCAAAGCTTCACTTGGAGAGGACGCCACGTTGTCTTGTGAAACTGTGATACAAGATCAACAGGAGTGTGAATATACGACATGGCTCGTTACTTATTCAGGAAACAGAGAAGCAGTAGTACAGCTGGTTAGACATGGTCAGGTTAAAAACTCTGGAGTTAAATCAGACAGACTGAGAGTTACAGAGGACTGTTCTCTGGTTATAAAGAAGATCACAGAGGAGGATGCTGGACGTTATTACTGTCAACAGTACATATCAGGAAATAGAACAGGCAATGTGACTCGAGTTCATCTCTCTGTTACCAAGAGTAAGTATTTCAATCATCATAATCTTTTCAAACAAAACTTTTCTAATTCAAACAATAAACTGAAACATTACAATAATTATAAAGACTCTGATGAAGTTAATTTGTCTCTTGTTGTGTTTCTCTTATAAAATCTCCATCCTTACTTTGGACTGGAAATACTTCAAATATTAAAACTTTTTTTGGATTTGAAGTTTGAATTTTATATGAAAACACAAGTTTAGTGCTGAACAGTTTGTTGAGTTGTGTTTCTCTCAACTTCAGGTGAGGACGCCAAACCAGAACCAACAAGACCACCAACAACAGACCAACAACAACAACAACAACAACTGCGGCTGCAGGAGGTAGAGTCTGTTGTCTCCTCTCTTTGTTTGATTCTGATTAAGGACAGAAGTTTGGAGCTAACATGCTGTTGGACACATTGATCCCTATCTGATCTCTTTAGTCCCTCAGTATCTAAACCACCACACTGACAGAAGTGTCTCCCTGTAGTCACAGTGATGGAAAAGAACGACACCTCTGTGCCTTTGAATGCTCGTTTCACTTTTTTTTTAAAAACCTCCCAGACGGCTCAGCTGACGAGTTTAAAAGTAATATCCACCAAATGATGTCAAATATTTCACATTATGACCCTCCTCTTTAACTCTTTACCATCCTTAACAAGTTCCTTTTTTCTGTGGTTAAGTTGTAACCCTCAAAGTTTCTTCTTTTCTTTCAAAGTAAAAGAGGGTTTATATCCAAAAGGAAATAAAGTATCCTTAGCTCAAGAAAGTACAAAATAAAAGTGTAAATTTTATTTTCTGAAATACAAAATAATGGAATTTCAAACATGATTAAAATATGATTAACCCTAATTAACTGCTGAATATCTGGGATTAATCCCAATTAAATTAATTTAATCATTTTACTGCTCTCAATGTTCAATACAGACACGTGTTATCTTTTTTTTATTCATCATATCATCTTAAGAACTCAGATCTATTGTCTTAGAAGATGTTTATGTTTTATGAAAAAACAAAAGTTGTTAGCAAAGTTCAATATTTGACTAACGTCTGGTTCCTGTTCATCAGATTGTACAGGTTGTTCTGATCTGGACTTGGTCATGTTGGCTCTGCGTGTGGCTGAACTCCTCCTGATTACTGTGATCACTGTTCTTCTCTTCAGAGCTCGAGGTGAGAAACACTCACACCAACTTTTATTCACACCTATCACACCAACCTTAAAGTCAGAGCTGAAATGTTTCTGTGTGCTTATTTTTCAGGGAACCAGAGACCACCTGATGACTCACTGTGAGCTGGAAATAAAGCTCATATGAACTGTCTTCATATAGAAAAGGAACATTTCTTATCTCCATTTTAACTTGTATGTTTTTGTATTTTCACAGGTGTATTATGATGGAGATGAAGGCTCAGTGAACTATGAAAATGTTGGAGAACCTTCTGCTTCTGTCAGACTCCACTGATCAACAATTCCACACAAACATCCACTCAGCAGATACATTAATCCACCGCTTTTAATCATTTCTATATTGTGCAGGTTTGCAGCAGGTAGAGAGAGAAACAGAGAGAGAGATCATCACTTGGGTTAATCTTCAGTTTTTGCAAACATGGAAGAAAAATTTTTTTTATAGAAAGCTTCATTTGTATAAAGTTCTTCATATTTTGAGTGCCTTTTCACTAGCAAGGACCACGCCACAACAGAATTAGTTTGAACATTTAATGTGGATTGTATTGACATGATATATTGACAGATGTATGTGTATGAGAGGGGTGGAGGTGAGAGATGGCCGTCTTCTTTCAGGCTGGTCTGGGAGGTTGATCGGGCGAGCGAGACTCAGAGTGGGGGTTCCGTCTCGGTATGAATCCACCCGAACTTATTACGGCCCCAGACTGTACCTGAAGTGAGAGAGATGAGGGAGAGCGTGTGCCGAGTTGGATGGGAAGAAATAAGGAAGGAGGGAAGGGATGAGGAAGGAGGGAAGGGATGAGGGTGAATGGATCAGGAAGGAGGAAGGGAGGGTGGGAAGAAGGATCTGAGGCAAACAGGGTGTGGTGAGGTGACCAGGTGTTAAGTAGGCTGTCAGGTAATTGGAGGTGTGGTTTTAGACGTGGTCCTGCTCCCGAACCGAAGTTAATACATTAACTCCATTAAATGTCAGAATAATCAAATTTGAATCATTATGTCAAATTAACTTTCATGTCTTATTGTTGCTTCAATATATTTGATTGAATGTGTATATTTTACTTAAAGGAGGTCTATTATCCTCACTTTTCACCATTAATCATGTCAGTCTGGGACACCTGTTGAGTAGTGTTGTGAGATGTGTAGCTCAAAAACCTTCTTATTTATGTCGGTAAAATCTCTCATATCAGCCTCTGTGTGAAACGGTTCATTTCAGCTGCTGTCTCTTTAAGACCGCCCTCTTCACGTGCCCACATTACTCTGATTGTCCAGCTTTGCTAAAAACTTCCTGGGGGCAGAACCAATTAGCTGACGGGTGGGCAACTCCTTCATCTTTGCTCCATGCTTTGTTCTAATCTAATGTTTCAGTGGCAAAGTTTTACGACGTCCTTTAAGATCTTGTTCAGAGCAGCAGGAAACCACGTCGGGGATTACACCAACATCTGTGTATCTTGTGTTAAAAAACTTTGCAGAGGTTTAGTATGAACATCCAACATGGTAACATTATATGTATGTTTTTAAATATGGATCAGCATCATAGATCTCTTTTTATACTTTTCCATCTTCAGTCTGTAATAATCATGTCTTTATAAAATCATAATAAAAGGTCATGCTTAATTAAACTGTGTGCTTTTTGTGACTCCATTAAATTACAGAGTTTTTCTGAAGGTGAACATTTTCTCTCCATAGCTTTTACATGACGTGACGGTCACACTCTTATAGAACCGCCCACCTGGCGGGCAAGAAAGGCTCTCTACCACTGAACGCTACTGAGAAGTTATTGATCTCAGTTGCCATCTAAGTGTTTTTATCAGTTTTATTTTGACATTTTTCAAATAAAAGACAGTTGTTTAATGTTATACACTGACCGATGAGGAGACGAGGCTGGGTTTTGCTTCTGCAGAATCTGAATCAGAATCTTAATCTGAGAAACAAACCCAGAGAGGAGGAGATTTGTGGATTAATGCGGTTAGACCCTCCGCGGCGCCTGTGAGGGAAAAAGAAGAACAGACTTCTCCTAATCCTGACAGCAAAGATTGTGTTCACTTGATCTAAATATTGCTGCCTTTAACTCACATTACTGCCCCTGAACACTGAAATTGACCGCTGACAGTCATCCTGGTACTTTTGTTAGCTAACGTTAACTTGATAATGTTAGCTAAGTAGCATTCACTGATGCTGGAATGATGAAGTATTTCTTGCCCTTGTTAGTGAACAGTAAGGTTCTTCTCCTTCGTCCTTCTTTCTGTTTTGTAAATTATTTTGGTCGGTGAGGTACGGTGGCACTAGAGCATGGAGAGATTAAAAGGTGAGTAGGGGGAGTTTATATTGAATGCAGGACTTGATCCCTGGCAGCAGAGTTCTGCACATACTGGAGTCTGTTCAGGGCAGTGCTTGTTACCCCTAAAAGAACTCCATTACAGTAGTCCAGGCGGGAGGTGATGAAGGCGTGAATGAGGGTCTCTGCCATGGGGTCGGGGAGTGAGGGACGGAGTCTTGACATATTTTTGAGGTGGAAACAGGCGTATTTTGGTGATTGACTTGATGTGGGATTTAAAAGAGAGGGTGGAGTCCAGAATGACGCCCAGGTTGCTGACCTCGGGTGAAGGGCAGATGGAGCTGTCCTCCACAATGAAGAGGAGATCTCCAACCTCCCTGAGCAGTGCCTTGGGGGCCACAACCATGAGCTCAGTCTTGCTACTGTTGAGTTTGAGGAGGTTAGAAGACATCCAGGTTTTAAAGTCATGCAGGCAGTTGACATGTGACTGCGGGGGGCTCAGTGGATGGAAACTTGGCTTCTTAAAAAGCCTTTGCTGCAGTTCTACAGTGTTTTCTACGGTGGCAGCTACTTTCCTGAGAGCGTTTTGCCCTGGCCATGTGGCTGAAAGCTATGAATAGATGTCCTTCCTTTATTATTGGGATCTCCTTCATTCAAAGCTCCTTTCTAAGCAGAGAACTAGAATGTGTCCAAATACAGACAAATACACCAAATGTGTGTAAGAGGCAAAAAAGTTAGGCAACTTTGAGAAGTTTAGTATGCACCTGCCTCCTTTATCAAGACTAATATGAGTAGGGTGTGAATAAAACTTATATATTTCACACAGAACAGTGATTATTAGTGTACATATTTCACAGAGGAGTTAGAGTGATAGAGCAGGAGAGGCTTAAATACTGCGGGAAAATGGATTTGTTGTTGGGATAAATTTGGAGAAGTGAGGTCCATCAGGATAACAGTAGAGATGGGATTGTCATTTTGTTTTGTTGAATGTCTGTCTAAACGCCATAAGAGAAAAAACACTGAAAATGTGTGTCTTTGGAGATGGTTCTAGTGCTCTCACATGGCTTTCCCTTGGCCGAACGTTTAGTTCTGCTCGCGATCGTACTGAGAACAGCCGGTGGTGAATAATAAGCAAATGAGCTGAGAATTTAGTTGGATAAAGCTACAGTTTGCAAACTGAAAGCTGCTAAAACAATCACTGACTGAGAGAGCTCTCCCTCTCAGTCAGTCAGTGATTCATGTCGGAGCGCTCGTTCAGTTCGTTCAGTGAACGAAACACTGACTGAACGTGAACGAGCGAGACTGTGAGTCACCAGCCTCAGTCACACACACACACACACACACACACACACACACACACACACACACACACACACACACAGTACTGACTGAAACATGATGGTTAGTAGATGTTAAAACAGTCAGCTGAGTTAAATTAAGTTGGATATAAAAGCCGTTTGTAAACTGACAGCAGATATAAAAAGCACAAACATTTTCGCGACACCTAAATGTTAAATAATATATTTTCTACTTCCTCAATTTTGGAGACATGAGAGGGAGAAGTAGGGGCGGGCTTTAGAGACACAGAGCTCCTGACCGACTCTGTCCTGTTGGTTCAGTCAGTACGTATCACTGACATGAGAGGAGAGGGAGGGCGGGCTTTGAGAGACTCTTATGGTCTAGAGAGAGACACGAGACGGGAGAGAGGAGAGAACAACTGAAGTTGAGAAATGAACGACTCTTTTCAGTAAGTGATTCAGTTCAGTTCGTTCACCCAGATGATTCGTTCGTTTTGAACGAGTCGTTCATGAACTACACATCACTATAGTGTATTTAGATAATGTTTGCTACAGAGTGAGAGCTTATGAGAGAGCTCCTCTCAGGTGTTTCTGCTGTCAGGAGTACGGCCATGTTGCTGCAGCGTGCAGAGGAGTTTGAAGATGAGGAGGAAATGTTTGTTTTGACTCGACTGCTGATGATGATACCCACATTCTCACCAAACAACTTCCCCTTCAGCTCTCAAGAAAAGACTCAAAATGATGCGTCAACACATCTCAGAGCACTAAAATAACATCTGATCTCTGATCTCTCAAACACGACGGACATTCAGAGTTGTATTCAGGAGGTCAAGGAGTTTGACCCTCCATGTTTTGTTCACTTTTTGCTCACAGACATCATTTTTAACTTAACTATTTTCTCAGAAAGAGGAACGTTGCACTTCTCAAAACTCACAATCTTGCCACATTTAACTGAACAGTTGAGAGCGTGAGAACGGGAGGACAGAGGGACGGACCTCTTCATACACTGATCACAGTTTGACAAGATCTCCGTCAATCTGCTGTGACCTCTGACCTCCGAAATCTTTACTGATCGATGCAGCTCATCTTAATGATCATCAGTTTATGATCACTTAAACATGTTACATCATGTTTTAATAACTATGAGACATTCATAGAATTGAACATTTAAAGTAGGCTTGAAGTCAAAATGAGGAAGTGATGACATACTAAGAAAGGGAAGTAGATGCAGCGTCTCTTTAAAGAAGCACTACTGAAGAAACTCAGACAGTTAGGAGCGTGACAACGGGAGGACAGAGACGGAGAATCACCATGAACGAGCTCAAATGGATTCAAACTTCTTTACTTCTCACAGCGCTGCTTCAGTTTGCTGGTAAGAACATTTATATCACATATTTAACCTTTTTTTAAACATGATGGATTTAATGAACTCTGAGAAACCACAGATGAAGAATTATTCTCAAACTGATTGTGAATATAATCAACATTTTATTGATTTAGTTTATTCTTTGTCATTTTCTCAACAGCAGCAGCAGCTGGAGATAAAGAAGTCACATTCAAAGCTTCACTTGGAGAGAACGCCACGTTGTCTTGTCAAACTCTGATACAAGGTCAACAGAAGTGTGAATATACGACATGGGCTTTGTTGATGTTGAATTAAAAAACAAGGAAGTAGTAGACCTGGTTGTAAAAGGTCAGGTTAAAAACTCTACAGTTAAATCAGACAGACTGAGAGTTACAGAGGACTGTTCTCTGGTTATAAAGAAGATCACAGAGGAGGATGCTGGACGTTATGTCTGTCAACAGATCAAATCAGGAAGAATAACAGGCGCTAAGACTCGAGTTCATCTCTCTGTTAACAAGAGTAAGTATTTCAATAATCTTTTCAAACAAAACTTTTCTAATTCAAACAATAAACTGAAACATTACAATAATTATAAAGACTTTGATGAAGTTAATTTGTCTCTTGTTGTGTTTCTCTTATAAAATCTCCATCCTTACTTTGGACTGGAAATACTTCAAATATTAAAATGTTTTTTTGGATTTGAAGTTTGAATTTTATATTAAAACACAAGTTTAGTGCTGAACAGTTTGTTTAGTTGAGTTTATCTCAACTTCAGGTGAGGACACCAAACCAGAACCAACAAGACCAACAACAACAAAAACAACAACTCCTGCAGGAGGTAGAGTCTCCTGTTGTCTTCTCCTCTCTGTGTTTGATTCTGATTAAGGACAGAAGTCTGAGGTCATCATGCTTCACATATTTTCATTTTTCTGGCAGACTGGCGTTGGTGGTTGATCCTCGTGGCTGTGGTGGTTTTTATAGTTCTGTTAGTGGTCGTTGTGAAAGTCATCAGATGGAAAGGTGAGAGCACAGATGAACATTTTCATGCAGAAAAAAAACTTTAATAACAGAAGTTTAATGTTTGTTAGCTGCAGTTTACCAACACATTTTAATATCTAGAAGTTTGAATGATCCATATTTCTTGTTTGGAAGCTAAAGTCCAGCTGTTTCTGTGTCTCTGCAGGAAACAGAACGCAGATGAGTGACGATGTTGTAAGTCCCAAAACGTTTGATTACGATGTTTGTTCTGACCGGCTGCTGAAGAGACTTGATAAATTTAGACATTATGAGGGTCATTCTTTGGATACCATCATACGAACCTTATAAATGTCATCCTGCATGTTCAGAAGTTTAAAGAAACATTTCTGTTAAGACACAGAGAAAGAGTCATTCCTTCCATTACACTCATCTCATTTATTATATCTGTCCACTTGTGGGAGGTTCAGGAAGTAATCAGCAGAGCAGAAGGGATTTTTTTTAAAGAGCAGAAACCAAAATGCCAAAAATAAATAAATATTCATCTGAGCCCCCCCCTCCCCGCCTGAAAGTCACAACTTCCTTAGATTGGTGTGATAAATTTCCAGAGTGTGACAATGATAAAAAGGGAAGTTTGATGGTGATGCAACTTCAGAGCACCAGGAACGTATCACACTGTGGGCTCACAGATTGGTTTTCTTTCTATCTTGCTGACAGAACATTCTCAGTACGTAATGGTGATGGTGTCTCTGAGTCTTCTGAGTTATGTGGGGTACCACAGGGCTCTGTCCAGGGGGCCCTTGCTCATCTCCCTTTATCTGCTACCCCTAGATAAGATCATAACCAGTTTTTTTTATTTGCTCCAATCAAAAGCACAGGTCACGATAAACGTTACTGAGCAGCTGTTTTGTTGTCTTATCTGTGTAGGCTGATCCTGAAGGCGGGGTTTCCTACGCCTCCATCAGATACAACAAGAAGGGGAAAAGAGGAGCTCGGGTAAGCTGTCTGATTGGTTAAAGTCAGGATGGATGTGAACTTTTATCTGAACATTTAGAATTCATTCTATTTATTTTAGCTTTACTAACAACAGCTTAACTTCATTCTCAACATGTCAACTTTATTCTCCATGTATCAACTTGCACTTTGCATTTAATGATGTCATTTTGTGTTATTTAATGCTCTGTGATCTATCTCCAGGTTTGTGCTAAAGACGATGCCGACGATGGTTCAGTGACCTATGCCTCCGTCAAAGCTTCTTCTTCTTCTTAAACCGTGTGCACGGATTTGCAATCTGCAGGCACACTTTCAGTTTAAGAAACCGTGCGCACTGTTTTGAAATCTGTGTCCACCATTTAGGAATCTGTGCCCACAGATTGTAAATCAGTGTGCATGGATTTGCTGAAATGATCGACAGCTTTTAATTTTTTGTCTCACCTGAGCCTTGCACAACAGATACTGATAGATGTGTTTGTATGAGACTTTGTGTTGTTAACTTTCAAGAGTTATTGCTTTAAGATGCTTTTTTTCTCCAACAGATGGCGTTGTAAGGTCAGCACAAACACCTAGCATTATACCTCTGCATGAAATTTAAATTTACGGAGACTCTGAAGTCCCAAAAGTACAAAAACTGAAATCTTGTGTGAACACGATAATTATATAAAGGACTGGTATTCAGAAAAACCTTTGACTACATGCTAGTGTGTGTGAGCGCTGACTGTTTCTTCTCTTAATCCTTGCACACAGGATATTCACTTGTGAGCACAACATAGCATCTTGTGCACAAGTTAGATGATAACTCAAGTGCACAAGATATTTTTTCCACTTTTTAGGACTTCAGGAGCTCCATATAAACCAGCTTTTAAAATAAGTTTATATACGCAGCAGGCACTTTGATGTGCATGTGTTAAGTTGTAGTTAAAGATTTTTCAACTTTTTTATTATTTCTGTACCTGTTGTCTTTTGACCTGCATTCATTTAAACATCGATATCATCACTGCTCAGATCATTCTGTATGCTCTGAGTCACATCCGAGAGTCTGTAGAAACCCAAAAAAGGTTAAATCGACAGAGTGTGAACTTAATGACAGATAAAGGAAGAAGGAACCAGAAAGCAGATGTGGTCTGCCCACATTCAAGCAACAAGTGTTATTTGTGCTTAAAAAAAGAAAAGATTGGAAGTCACGTGGATGCCAAGCAAGATGGCTGCACAGTAATTTAGCTCCGGTTAATAGCCCTAAAACTTTGTTAATTAGAACGTTTTTATCCCACCTTTCTCAGTTATAATTGCGCCTGCAGTTATATACCCATACGGAAAAGAAACAGAAAAAACATGTAAAATATTTCATTGCCTGCAATATGCAATCTTTATATTTTACATTTATTGAATGTCTTACAAGACTTGTGTGTCTCATACTATGATTTACTCATGAAAGTGGCCACTTTTGCATTTTTCTCATACAATGTAATTATATGAATTAAGCATACATTATGTATGTAATTTACACGTAAAATGCATTAAAAGATGTTTTTTTCTTATAAGGTCCATATAATGTTCTTATATATATTTATACATGTCTGTTTTAAAGATTTACATTATTTTTACATGAATAATTGCCTTTTTATATATGTTTTTTATATCTTTAGTGTATCAAATAATTAATGAAAACTACGCTTTCTACATGTTTTCTATAAGATTTGTTTCTGTCCAACAAATACAATTTTATAAAAATTATCTAGTCTCATTACATGACAAAATTATGTTATGTGTTTTTTTTAGTTGTTAAATGTATTAAATAACAAATAAATCTATGCATTTTTTATATGATATTTATAAGATTGTTATATGTAAAACAATTGAACAATATCTACTTGTTGGGCCACGCAGGTTTAGGACAGTCAAACAATGGACTTGGGCCTGTACCTCTGTAAAAGCCTCATTTGAGTTATTCACTGAGATCACAAAGAGGCCTAAAAGGACTCTTAATCCCAGAATCCCCTGCGGTACTTCACACCTACGCATGAAGTAAAGGGGGGACCGGAACCTCTCTCTCCTCATTGGAGGGGACCTGAGGTAGACCCCCCATGGAGCAGGCCAGGCTACAAAGCTCCAAGACTTCCATTGCTCGCCCTCTTTCACACGCTGACTTCTGGTGCTTGGAGATCCAAGCTTATCTCCTGTTTCCTGCAACAATCTTCCTTTGTTTTAAGTTTTTGGCGCGCAGGTAATCCGCGGCCGGCAGTGTTCTAAATTCCGAGCTCGGATTGTCCAGTGAATGCATCTAAGTTTCTCGGAGAGCGTCAGACTATAACAGATCATCAGAAAGATAACGGTCTTATTCCGTCCTGCAACGAAAGGACATCAAAGGACATCTTTCCACTCGACGGAGAACCAACGAAGCCGCTCTCGCCGTAAGGGACCCTCGCCGCCATCAGACGCCTCTGCACCAGGACGGACAGAAGATCTGCTCCATCGCCGGACTCTTTTCCTTCACCAATTGCGGACAAAGCGATTCACAAGTGAGGCTTAATTAGGTCTGGGGCAGAATTAGCTTTAGAGAGTGTTTTTAACAATTGTTGATCAAAGCAGAAACTGTAATTTTTATCTTTGTTGGACCTGCGTCCTGAGTTTTAACTGTTTAAAACTCTTGTTGTTGTTTCGGACCGCTGCGTCCTATATGTGTTTAGTGTAACAGCGTTATAACCGGGTATTACTCTTCTGATCAGAAAGGCCAGTGTAAGCCGTATTAACCTGAATTCGGCTATTGGTTTGTTTCTGTGAATGAAGGGAATTACTCCGAGTTGTGGCGCGGGAGTCGGACTGTGATCCGGCCTCTTCAGGCACGCATTTCTCTTTTATTCTCTTTTATTCTCTTTTATTTCCCCTTCTACGAACATACACATACACACATATTCCCGTGTAAACGTACATCTGGAGACCAACTCCACCACCGCGCCATTACGCACAGAGATCTATACACTCGCGGCTATCCAGACGCCTCAGAGACACAGATTGTGTAGGGCCGAACTCAGTCTCTTTTAGACCTTAAGGCCACATTTAGGCCTTTGTTAGGTGTGTGCCATCGGAAGGGCGACCACGTGGGACGAAGTAATCTTCCCCCCCCTTCTCTCTCCCTTTCATCCACACGCGCCCGCACCCAGGTCTTTGTTAGGTCTGCGCCATCGTGAACGACCACGAGGGTTCGAAGCCATCTCCCCCCTTTCTTCTTCCCCCTCTCTCTCTCTCTCTCTCTCACACACACATACATACACACACACACACACACACACACACACACACACACCTACATTCACACCCCTTCCACAAGCCTTTGCTTGATAATGTTTGTTGCTTAGATTAGTTTATAATAGTTATTTGTTTAATTAAGTTCATTGATTTTGGATTGATGTTGCTTTGTTTAAATAAATTCTGTTATAATTTAAGAGAGCAGTTGTTTGTGGTTACTGGTGTATTTGCATTGTGATATAAGCTGGGTGCGAAGGCTTTGTGTACGGATTTCACGCCTTCAATTTATTAAATATAGTTATTCATTATTAATAATATTAGTAATTAAATAACTAATTTGAGACTGATTTGAGTGATATTTTGGTTATATTTACCTGATTACAGGTTGGTGCCCCAAAACGAGATTAAACATAGTTTAATGATATTTTATTTATATTATTAATAATTAAGTATAATTATTAAAGAATATAACCAAAGTTGACTTGATACAACCCCAACATACTTTTCAGGTGAAATGGTTAGCCTGGTCAGCACCCAAACACTTCCTACTACACAATGGTGTAAATGCAGTTTGTATAAGTGTGTAATATTGAAAGCAGGGCTGTTAGGCAAACTTTTAATTCAAAAGTCTTTATTAAAGTCAAACCCTGCAGGTATTACAATGCCTACAGCAGTACACAAGCAGCAGTAAACATTAGTCTTAAAGAACAAGACTTTTTGCTAGATAAGATAACAATTGAATTTACTTTTGACAAGTTAGGAATATCTTTAAGTTTGTTTCAACATTTTAACATATGTCATGCCTACAGACATGCCGAGGACATACATATTCTATTCCTATTCTTTTAAGGGAATGTTGTCAACAACAAACTACTGCCATTACAAACAGATGCACTCTACACACCTCATTTAGCCCTTAACATTCAAACAAAGGAGAAACAGGGAGTATGTTAAAGAGTTTTGAGCAAATGCCGGTACTGCCTACTGTTTAAAAAGATATTTTGAGTATACTCAATTCTTGTACTTGCTTTGAAATTCATGTTTAACATACAAGTTTCAAATAAAAATATAAACATTTAGTACAAATTTTCTATTTCTTTTCCATATGGGTAGCCTCTAATTCTCTAGACTGGCAGTTTCAAAACTGTAATATGTCAAAGTCTTTTCAAAGTACAACGAGTAGCCGTGCCGCTAGAAAACTGAGCCCGCAGCCTGAGGGTAACCTCATGCCTCCGGAACAGAGAAATTCGGAGCCTTTAATGGAGAATCTACTCGCTGAGGTCAGCCGTATAAGTACAACTCTAACTGCGCTCACCACTGATGTAACAACAATAAAAGAAAGTACAACGGAGCTGAGAAACTCCATTAACGCCATTCAAGAAAGGCTGACCGAAGCCGAGGGTCGCATCTCCGATGTAGAAGACACGACCGAGCAGATAGTAGATGCTAATGAGCATAATGAAAGACGCGTGGAGATGCTGTGGAACCGGGTGGAAGACCTCGAGAATAGGAGCCGGAGCAATAACGTTAGACTGATAGGCCTAAAGGAAGGAGCAGAAGCAGGAGGCCTGATGAAATGTATTCAAAGCATTATGTCTGACGGTTTTGGACTCGAGCTGGATGAGGAGATGGAGATTGAGAGAGCGCACAGAGCCCCGACTACTAGACCCAGTGAGGACAGACCCCCCAGGTTGGTGCTGATACGCTTCCTGCGCTCCTCGGCACGACAGAAGGTGCTACAAGCGGCCAAGGCCAAAAGAGGAGTGATGTGGAGCGGATGTAAAGGTTCTTTCTTCCCGGACATGTCAAGAGAACTGGCTGAGAAGCGACGGGCGTTTACCGAGGCAAGAAGCATGTTGCAAAAAATAAACGTGAGACACACGCTCGCGTTTCCAGCCGTCCTACGCTTTACATGGAAAGAGAAAAAGAAATCCTTTTCCGACAGCACGGAAGCTGAAAAGTTCATAATGGAACGCTGTGGGGAAGAAACGGTGCGGTGAACAGATATGACAGGACTGCAGCAACAGGTGGAGAGAATTTTACAGGTATGTTAGGGTGAAAACGGAGCAGGATAGCCTAATGACTGTAGGTGTGCAGCCAGGTATGTCAGGCGGCATAGCACGGACCTTAATGTTGGCCTTTTCTTTTTTTTATTTAATTTTTCTCTTTTTTTTTAGGGAATTTATCCTGCCTGTGTGTTTTTGCCTTCGGGTTAACTTGGCAGGAATGTTTTTGTTTTCCTTAATGGAATGTTTGATTTATTTGGTGTTTGTTTCCTGTTCAAGCATGCAGCACTGTCAGTATTTATTACTGTCTACTGAGCAGAGGGACAGAGTACAGCCATTTATTTTTCTATTAAAGGAGTCTCAGTTCAGATATCTTAGCCACTGTATGACAGGTACATTTGCACTTTCGTGCATGAAGTTTAGGATGTGAGGATGGTACATTTAATTTCATGGAACATTAATGGTTGTGGTAGTCCAATCAAAAGGAAAAGGGTTTTAACTTATCTGAAAGGTAAACAAGTTGATGTGGCTTTTGTACAGGAGACACACTTCAAAGATGTTGAAGCGTTGAAATTCAGGAGAGACTGGGTGGGCCAGGTGTTTCACTCGTCATATAACAGCAAGCAAAATGGAGTAATCATTCTAATTAGTAAAAAGTTTAATTTTGTCCTAAAGGGGGAGTTTAAAGATAAGGAAGGGAGGATCATTTGCATAGATGCTCTTATAAATGGGATCAAAGTGGTTCTTTGTAATATTTATGCACCTAATAAGGAAGATCTGGATTTTATCAATGAGCTGAACAAAGTATTGGACACCAAAGAAGGACAAATTATTTTGGGAGGAGATTTTAATCAGGTAGTTGATCCTGTTATAGACAGAAGCAAGTGTCAAATATTGCCTGTATCTGGGGACAGGGCTGCTTTACACATGCTTATGGAGGACTTGGGCCTAGTGGATGTGTGGCGGCTGGTGAATCCAGGTGACAGGGAATATACTTTTTATTCACATCGCCACAAATCACATTCTAGAATCGATTTTTTTCTCCTATCCAAATTTACTATTGACAAGGTAATAGACTGTAAAATTGGTCCTATAGGATTATCTGACCATGCACCTGTCGAAACTCAAATAGAACTAAATGCCGAAACAGGAAAGAGGGGTAGGGGGCGGATGAACATCGCACTTTTGAGTGATGAGGGGTTTAGCAAAGAATTAGCTGAGGACCTGACCATGTTTTTTGATCTAAATGTGGGGACAACAGAGAAACTTTCCTCAGTGTGGGAGGC